AAAATAAATAAAAAACGTTGAAAAAAAAATTAAAAAAAAAAAATTACTTTCAGCCTGAACCTTTCAGAGACAGATCATCAGTAGCCTTCAAAAACAGTAAAATTGGACTCTTTTGAAAGCTCTTTCCTCAAAGAGTTTTTTAAGATGTATTCTGAGTAATCTAACTTAACATACATGGCTCATTGACACAAAATGTAATAAAAAAGTTCTCAATTGTGATGACAAGTATTATTACTAGTCTATGCCTTTGAATTTTTTTCTAAACCTATAGGTCATTTGTAATTATTAGAATTAATAAAGCAAATTTAAGCAACTTCATTAAAACTAAAAATTTATACTGAAAGATTTCTACAAGCAAAGTTTTAAATGTAATAAGGGAAAAAATTAAACTTCACTGTAGGTACTGTTGCACCAGATATTCCAGCAAATAAATTACCCCTTGGCAATGTTATGTTAAAATGGGTACTTTGGTTTGGAGTCACTAAGGTATATTTCTCATTTTTATCACAATTAAGATAATGCAAATTTCGATAAGGTAAGAAGTGGCATAAATTTACTGCTCAGGAAAAAGAATTCTTTTTCAAAGACTTTCTTCTGTCATATAACATTTCAATAAACAGTGACGATAACACTTCTTTAAAAAATATTTATTTATTTACCTTGAGAGAGAAAGCATGAGTGGGGGAGAGGTAGAGAAAGGGAGACAGAGAATCCTAAGCAGGCTCCATGCCCAGCACAGAGCTGGACACAGGGCTCGATCTCCTGACTGTGAGATCATGACCTTAGCCGAAATCAAGAGTCAGATTCTCAACCAACTGAGCCACCCAGGCACCCCAATACTAGACTTTTCTTTGAACATGCAGATAATAATGGTACCTATCTCACAAGACTGCTCTAAGTCTCAAGTGAAATAATAATACATCATGTAAAGTCCTTAATACAACACCCAAAATATAGCAAAGTATAGTAATAAGTATTAGGAATTCTATCGCAAATTCTAAATTTGTTTAAAACTTTATTTAAAATTTACATGGTGACCTATTTATTTTAAAACAAGGCATTTCTACTGTTTTACTTAAAATATAAGCTTATTTTGAATAGAATACTGTAAGAGTTAACAAAACACAGGAAGTTTAATAAACATACTTTAAGAGAGTCATCTCTAAGAGTAACTAAACTGAAGCCCAAGTGTCTAGGGTTTATAAGATACATGTTCTCCACAGTAAGATGCTACTGACAGAGAAAACAAAACTTCCAATTATTAGCCTAAGCTGAAAGTCACAAAGAAAGATGCTCAGAAATGGAGGTGTTAATTTGAAACTGAGCTGCTTCACACATGGATAAATCTACAGCACACTCTAAAGAAAGTAGGAGCAAGGATTTGTTTAATCCTAAACAATAATGAGGAGGTCAGTTAGTGTTTATCTAATAGTACTTACCTGTTATGAAACGATCCAATGGCAACACAGGAGCAACATGAGGTGTAGCTTGTGTAATAAGAAGATTTATCAGATCTTGTTTAAAATTTTTCAATGTAAGCAATGCTCTTGCAACAAGGCCACCCATAGAGTGACCAATTATTGCCACACTTTTTGGAGCAAATTCTTGACCCTATTAAAAAAAAAAAATCACCAAGGCATAATGAAGGCTTATCATAACAAAAATTCCAAATACTTACCTGTCTATATGAGCAATTTTATAGAAAAAAAGAAAATTAAACTACTTACATAAACTTGCATAAGATACAGAAATATATTTTCATTTACTTATAATTGGTATATGCTACCATTTTGTATCCTGCCTAATATTTTTAATGGCCATGCTTTGGTTTTCTGAACCAAAATCAGAACTCTTCGTCTACCATATCATGTCTTATCATTTGTTACGTTGGATGTAAAAGATGTAATTATATTTGGTTTATTCCAAAATATTAGATTTTATAGCATAGAAGTCAGATCATTTGAAACTGAAAACATCACAAAAACTCAGAACAATTATGGTTGCCATAACAATATGATACCTCATCATATTGATATATCTTATCAAGTTACTTCTCTATTGTGCACCTGGGTTGAAAAACAAACCAGCATTCCAAAATATTTATTCACTGACAATTACATATTTTATTTTTAAAATAAGCATTGCTTTTACAAAAATCTTTTGTCTCCATATAGTATCCTTAGTTTCACTGCCAAACTTTTGCTTATCACTCTCCACACTAATCCTTCATCTATGCCTTCTCTCATAACTATGAATAAATCGGGCTTTTTACAGAAAAGAATTAACATAGTAAGCCTGAGACTGTTATCCTTATAATGGACTGCATATAAGTTGGCTCTGGGATACAGTCTGGAACCTTAGATTCCCGGATTTTCCCATAATTTCCTAAATGGAAGAATGGCTCACTATGCTGAAACTGTTTTGCAAATAATACAGTTTATACTGCATACCTGCTGTCCTTCTGGTTGGGATTTTAGTACACGCTAGGCACAGGGTCTCTACATGACCAGCCCCCAGTAAATACTATGGGCACTGAACTTCTCATGAGCTTCTCTCACAGACAACACTTCACACATCACAATTCATTGCTGTATGAATTAAATGGATCCAGTGTAACTCCCCTTTAAGGACATTTGGAGGCTTGTACCTGGCTTCCTCTGGACTTCACCCCATGCACCTTTTCTTTATTGGTTTTGCTTTGTATCCTTTCATTGTAATAAATCATAACCATGAGTACAAGTACATGCTGAATCCTATGAATCCTTCTGGACAATTATCAAGCCTGGGGATGGTCTCGGTGATTCCCAACACAGAGCTGATCTTTAAAAAAAGCCAAACTCTCCATTTGTGCTCTGAAACCCATCCCCTTCTGCCTTCTCAAGTACATCACTCCAGCAATTCTACTCACTTTTTTCTTGCATTGTTGTTTCTCGCTCTCTACCAGATCATTCTTGCTAGTATAAAAATATATTATTCTCCCTTAAAAAATAAAAACTACTCTTTTGACACCAACTTTACCCTGAGTGAGCACATCTTTCTCTACATCTCTATAGTGTAACTCACTAAAATCAACTGCCTATACAGTACTTGCTGTCTCCAATTTCTCAACTTCCATACACTCTTACACCCACTCCAATCACACTTTCACTTCAACACTCCTCCAAAATTATCAAGTCACCAAGGAATCTAATGGCCAATTCTCAATCCTCATCTTATATGAACTATCAACAGGATTTGACATAGATCACTTCCTCCTCTTTGAAATGATTTGTTCAGATTCCTTGACAACGTATTTTCCTGGTTCTCCTCTTACCTCACTGGCTACTTCTTTTTAGTCTCCTGCTGTTTCCTTCTCATCTCCCCCATGTCTTTTTTTTTTTTTAATGTTTACTTTACTTTTGAGAGAGAGACAGAGTGTGAGCAGGAAAGGGGCAGAGAGAGGGAGACACAGAATCCAAAGCAGGCTCCAGGCTCCTAGCTGTCAGCACAGAGCCCGGCACAGGACTTGAACTCATGAACAGATCATTACCTGAGCTAAAGTCAGATGCTTAACCAACCCAGGCACCCCCACCCCCCATCTCAATAAGGTAATGACTCAGGCCTCAGTCCTTAGGTCTCTTCTTTCATATCTTGACTCCATAGTGATCTCATCCAATCTCATGGCTTTAAATACATCCATATACTGGCAAGCCTCAAGTTATTATCTCCAGACTGGACCTCTTTCTCTTAAACTCTAAACTTAAAATCCAATCGCATCCTAACTATACTTGGGATATCTAACATGCATCTTAAACCGGTCTAAAACTAAATTATTAATCTCCTCCAAATACATTCTTCTTACATTTTCCCCCATCTTAGATAACGGTATTTCAATCCTTCTAGTTGTTCAGCCAAAAACTCTGGATCATTCTCAACTCTTTTTGTTTCACACTGCTCCTCCATATCTGATCTGCCAGCAAATCTTGTTTCCTTTAAGATTTATACCAATCTATTTCTTATCACCTCCAATGTTACCAACTTGATTTAAGCTACCATTATTCATGCCTGAATTACTGCAATGAGCCCCTAACTGGTCTCTTTACTTCTCTCACATCCCTTCATTTATCCTTGAAACCATCCACAGAATAATATCATTAAAACCTAAATCAGGACATGTCACTCCTTTGCTCAAAAATCTCAGCAGTGTCTTTCCCTATCATTTCAAATAAAAGGTAATATTCTTAAAATTGCCTACAAGGCTCTATCATTTGTCTCCCCCTGCCAAATTTTCCTTTATTAACTTATTCTATCTACTCCAGCCATACCAGTCTCCCTGTTTTCTTCTAATACAGCTCACATGTGCTGGCCTCATATATTTTACTTGTTTCCTCTATCTGAAATACTTTCCTCCTAAATACCCTCATGCCCTCTAATTTATAATAAACTGTCTGCTTCTCAATAGAGATCTTTGCTGGGGACCCTTATTTGTAATTGTAGTCCTCTACCCTTTGCTCCCTATGTCCCTTTCCTGTTTTATTTTACTTTTTGGCATTTAATACTCTGTAAGATAGTATATATTTTTATTATTTATGTTTATTATCTGCCTCTCCTGACTAGAACATAAGGTCCATGAGGGCTTAGATTTCTGTTTTATTCACTGCTATAACTGCATGTAGATTCAGGTGCTGAATAAATGAGGTTTCCTCCATGTGCAATGTCCTCTCACTTTCTCACACTCAAATCCTGTCCATTCAACAAAATTCAGTTGTCTCGAACTCCTACAGTACCTGGTTGTAAAATGAATCTTATGTTCTAAAAGCCTCAATTTAAAAGCGAGTTTATTAGCTCTATTATAAATTTAATATGTAGTCATTAGGGAAAATATGAAAACAAAAATACAGAAGGGAAAAACTACCTAGCATAACACATTAAAGATACACTTATTTATTGTGAATGACATTTATGGAGATAAATCTCATTCTGTAAAAACATATTTATCTTACCCAATATATATCAAATACTTAAAAGGTCCTGCACCTAATTTCGCTTGTCTCCTCCTATATTATCCAGTACAGATTTAAGCTTAAAAAACACTTGCTATTGAAGTAACTTTAAAATGCTGGCTAACGCAAAGAACCATGAAGTCTAAATTTCATTCTCAAGATGCATAAGTATCATACTGCTTGAATTTTACTATAGCTATATAGTTAAGTCTTCAAATTAGGCAGTGCAAGTTCTCCAACATTGCTCTTTTTCAAGACAGTTTGGCTTTTTTGGGTACTTTGCATTTCCACATAAGTTTGTAAATTTTTACAAAAACACCTCCTGGTATTTTCATTTGTATTGCATTAACTCTGCTGCTTAATTTGGAGAGAATTTATCTCTTAATTTTAAGTCTTCTAATCCTTAAAGTTGGTTCATTTATTTGGATTCCTTTCCCTCAGCAAGTTTTACAGTTTGCAGTGTACAGATATTGTATATCTCCCATTAAATTTATCCATAAGAATTGTATTTTTATATTATTGAAAATGCACTTTAAAATTTCCCCTTCCATTTATTCAGTGATTTTTGAATACTGACCATTTGCCCTGAGAAACTGTTAAATTCACTCATGAATTATAATTCTCTGTAAATTCCTTTAAATGTTTCTGTATATTTGTATCATCTTTAAATGTTTCTGTATATTTGTATCATCTTGTGATCACATCTTATTTATCTCATCCAATAAACACCTTTATCAGAAATAGTTCTTAACCTAATAGCTTGTTTCCTCCTGTAATGCATAATACTTAATTTCCTTGGGTTGAGAAAGTTTGCATCTGTTCCTAATGCACTGAATTCTGTGGGTTTTCCTTAAATCATGAATGGGTACTGAATGTAACCAAATGATTTTCTTCATCTATTAAGATGATCCTACGATGAATTACACTGATTGATACTTAAATATTAAACCAACTTTGCATTCTTGGGATAAATCCTATCTAGTCATATTATAGTTTAAGATATTGCTGGATTTCATAGCCTAATTTTTTGTTGAGAATCTTACATCTATGTTCATGAGGAATACTCTCTATTTTTTTTCCAAACAATATTAACGTCTGATTTTGATAAGGTTTGCATGTTTCTTAAAATGAACTATAAGTATTATCTCTTCCTCTATTTTCTCAGCTTGTATGAGATGGGATTATTTCTTTCTTAAATGTGTCATGGATTTTACCACTGAAGTCATTTAACTCTAGGGTTTTCTTGGCAATAAGATTTTTAGTTACAAATATAAAAAATGTTAAACATATAGGGCTAGTCAGAGATTCTTTCTCTTGTGTCTGTTTTGTAATTTGTTTCAAGAGATTTGAGAATTTCAACCAAGTTGTCAAATTTATTGGTGTAATGTTGTTCATAATAATCCTTTAATAGCTTCTTACTATCTGTAGGCTCTGTAGAGATGTCCCTTCTTTCATTCCCAGTATTGTTAATTTGTATTCTTTTTTTTCATCAGTTTAGATAAGGGTTTACCAATTCTTAGATCTCTTAGAAGAATGAGCCATTGGTATAATTTTTCCCCCTTTGTCTATTTTCTGTTTCCTTGATTTCTATTCCCTATTGTTTCCTTCCTTTTGAGTTTTACTTTGTTC